GGGAAAGCTTCTTGTAAAAGATGGAATTTTGGAATGAAAAGCATAGAGTTACTTTCTGACTGCCCTTCTCACACTCACTTTGGCCAAAAGTAAAGTAGGGAGCTAGATGGACTACAGGGTGTATTTTTCCCTTATTCTTTCAAGTTCAGAGGCTTTCCAGAGCATCCCAAAGTTTCACTCCCAAGCTTCCTTTTTGAAATTTGACCCTGCTTTAAGTAGAAATAGTGTCCAAGTCCAGGATGCTTAGAGTGGGAAGTGGTTTGCCTATATAACATCAGGCCTGTTATTCCCTCTCTCCCCTCTTCTTTCCAACAGCCCTGAGGGAATGAAATTGTAGTAGAGAAAATGCTAGACTCGGAAGATCTGGATTTGAGACCTGGCTCTGATGCTTACTAGATATGTAACACTAGGCAAGCTACCTAACAACTGAGTCTCTGTTTCTCCCTCCATTAAATAGAGATGCTTCTATTTCTATTCCTTACTCCCATAGAATTATGAGAAAAGCACTTTGTAAAGCTGTGGCGTGTTACATCAGTGTGAGAGTTATTGTCTGGTGAGGCAAAGATCCAAAGGGATCAGGAATAAGTCTGGTACCCTGCCTGCTAAGGGCATCTGACATTTCTGGGCACCAACCTTAGACAAATTTCTGAAGATTTAGGGAGTTTGCTTTTGGAAGTAGAACACAGGAAGTAAGAAAACTTACTTAAACCCCTATCTTGAGATCTGGGGCATTCTTCTCTGCTTTGGGTGTTCTTATCTATGTCCTTGGTGCTAAATCTGTGAATCATGCTCTCTAGCTTTATTTCCCTTCCCCTGCCTCTTGCTCTCAGTTCCAAAGTGAGAGTAAATGCCGACCTGGGCATATATCATAGGTCTGATCACTGTGTGAATTTGGAATTTCTGCTCTGGATTGTCACCAGGGAAATGAATATTTGGTGGGCAGCACACTAGATGAGAAACATCTAATGTTCTGGTCAAGTGAAGATAGACTGAATATGACCTGGTATATGGGAGAGGTGTTTCCTATCTTTAGTGATTGCTCGTTATCTATGAAAGCCTTTGGGTTCTTGAGAACCCTACCCATTTTTAGATTTGCCCGACACTGAGCTTGGCTGGCTGCTCCTTCCTCATCCTGCTCTCTACTGTCATGTACTTCTTCCCTCAGGTTCCTCTAAGTACCTCAGTTGAGACTTTGCTATAGGAATTTTCAGAGAGAAGTGTGTCCTGCTTCTGCCGTCCTCCACCCAATACTCAAGGAGAAGAAAGAGAACTCAGTGGCAGGAGAAAAGAGAATGGTACTCTGGGGTCTTAGGCAGCTGGGGCAACAAGGCATTTGTTAGAATAGTGGAAGTTGTAAAGGAGACTCAGGCCAAAAGAATGACTTGGCCACGGGGTAGGGGCAGGGGAGGGGGGCAGGAATGGAAGAGATAAATCAGTTCCAACAGCATGAGGAGCTAGAGTGTTGTAAGAATGAAGCAGAGATAACTCGAACAGGCTTAGAGTTGGGTAAGGGAAACATAAGGCGGAAGTTGGCATGGCCAATGCAGTGGCAATTGGAGAAGAGATGGAGGGGAAAAGTAGGAAGGGTCAGTTAAGTCCTAAATAAAAGCCAAACAGCCCTTTCTGGCTTTCTTTTTCACCCCAAATCTCCCTTTCTTTTGAAAGAGACTCCCCACCATATCTTGGAAGCTCCCAAGATCCTATATGATTAGCTTTGGAGCTAAAGTATCTAATTTTGAGCTGTTTCTCCCTCCTTGGCCTAGGGTATTGAGTGATCTATTCCTGTTCCTTCCTTTCTGCCTTCACTTCTCCCAGCTGCCTAGCCCCAAATCCCCAAATTGTTAGGAGTTAAGACTCTGAGTTGTAGGAATTCTGCTGCATTGAGGAACAGGGCTCTGCCTAAGCCTTTCTGAGCCTACTGTGAATTCCTACCTACCTGGCTACCTGAATTACTGCTATAATTCTCAATCTCTAGCTCCACTGTTACACATGTTTTAAACTACATTACTTTGAGGCCCAGTGGAAATCTCTGCAGATTTTTTAAATCCTCTTGCTGCTTCGTTACATTTGGGTTATGGCCAGGGGCCATAACTATGGAACAGCAAATCTTCTTACATCATGACTAAGGTAGCACTTCCTTTTTGCTCCTCTTGGAAATGCACTTTTTTTTTTAAACGAAATCATTGACCAAACGTTAGGAAATGTTATAATAAAATAAGTCTGTGATACATGAGCACAAAAGAGAGCATGGATGTACACACACATATACACATACAGCTGTACAAAATGTGGCTGGTCTCAGTGCCCATGAATATGCAGAAGCTTCCCTACACAAAATGTCAGTGTTCTAGATAAAGCTCAGTGTTCTAGAGTTCTACATTTTTTTTTCTGATCCCTCCATCTCTGGTCTGCTAGAGAAACAGTAGGGCTGATGCAGTTTTTTGTTTTAAAGAGAAGGAGTCCCAGAGATGGGTAGTGATATGCTTGGAGGAAAATTCAGTACATCAGTGTGTTTGTCTCTTCTCTTATGAAGGGAATTCACATGGGTTCAACTTCCCTTAAGTTTCTTCTGGGGCCACTCCATGGATAGCTAGATTCTCTTTTCTTTCTTATGGCTTCACATTCACAACCAAGGCCAACTTAGGTGGCCTTAGCACAGTGGATGATTCTGCACTTCCCTCTTCCAGTGGCAATGGGAATGCCCCTAAAGTACCTCCCAGTGCCTGACATTCTGATTACCCTTCGTGGTCTGTTAAAACTTATCTATGAGTGTGGCTCATTTCCCTTTATCCTGTGAGCCCTACAGGTCAAGGAGCATCTCAGCTCATCAGAAGGGTTCCAAATCCCTGAATCCACTTGGCAGGCCCTACCATCTCAGGGCCCTCACGGAAAGACCCAGCTGGGCTCAGGCCCCTGGCAATACTATCTCTGCCTTGAGCATTATTTTCCCAGGCTCATGTCCTCTTTTCCTATTGGGAACTGGACTCCTCAGGCTGAGAGAGGTAGGGAGCCTGCTGGGACACACCCAAACTCATTCTTACCCTGTGAGTCAAATCCTACTGTGCCCATGGTTCTTGACCTTAGGCATTAAAAAAATTATAATAATAGCTAGCATTTCTATTGAGTTGTTGTGAGAATAAAATGAAATTATGTCAGCAAATCTTAAAGATAAAGAAATGCTAGCTACTATTATTATTAGTAACTTTTCTGAATACTCCTTGGCACTAGCTTCTCAATGTCATAGAACCAAATTGGACTTAATCTAGTTTATGGTAAGTGGGCAATAATAATGATAGCCAGTATTTATATAGTGTTTCATCTATATTATTTCATTTGATCCTCATAACTCTGTGAGGTAAGCTCTATTATCATCCTCGTTTTACAGATGAAGAAACTGAGATAGAGAGTTTATGTGATTTGCCCAGGGTCACACAGCTAGAAATAGCCTCCCTTCATGGAGAGGTCAGGAGTTTTTCCTTCCCTGATTTGTGTGTTGTTTGTCTGTTCTACGCCCTCAAGGCCAAGCACGGCCTACTAAAAAGTACTCCCAAATTCCTCATGTTCGCAATCGCAGCCTTGCCTCTAGCCAGAGGACCCCCTCTAGCCTAGTTATATATCTGCCCTAGTTTGGTTGGGGTTTTCATTTGTTTGTTTTTTGGGTTTTGTTTTGTTTTGTTTGGTCAGTTGAAGTTTTTGCAAAGCCCTTTCTCAAGCTGTAGCAGGAGGTCTTTAGGCCACATTTAAGATCATTTCTTTGATTCTCCTCTCAGTAGAAATGGTCAGTTATTCTTCCACCTACATCGTTGTAGAGCAGCCCTTAGTGAAGCTGTCATGTGTAGACTTTCATCATTGCCCCTTACCCCCCTCCAGGGGCCTTTACCAATGGCTCTCTACTGGCCACAATTACTTGGACTTCATCCCACACTGATGTTCCGTCTTGTGTTTCAGTGCTGTCTTGGAGACTCCACCTTCAGCTTCAGGGAAACTATAAAGGACTGCATTTAGCAGTCTCAAGTGCCAAACTTATGACTAATTTGCTGTGACATATAAGCAAACTGATGAAGACCAATGAGCATTAATTGCCATGTTAAATTCTGACACCCCCTCTGCTCTTCATCTTAGCATTGGGGCTATCAGTGTTTGGAAGAGTGAGTGAGAACTTCTGTCTTTGGCTACCTGGCCTTAGGAAATAGCCTGGATGCTTCCAATCCCAAACTACCCCTTCTTCCTCCCTTTGCTCTTTTTTCCCCTTCTGCCTAAATAATACCAGTGATCTTCTTCAAAGAGGCAGAGGGGCCACGTGAGGAGAGAAAAGACCAGAACTAAAACTTATATGCCAGAACATCTGATATAATATCCTCTGTCCCTTGAAAGTCTAATGGAAGGAACCGTAGGCTGAGAATCAGGATAGATCCCTCTTGCTTCTTGTGACTTTGGGGTGTCCCCTAAGAGTTGTCCGGGAGGACAGGTAAGAAGATGCAGTCAAACAATAACGTGGAGTTTTGGGAATGTGACTTCATTCATTAAGTAAGCACCTTCTTCCGAAACAGCTCAGCACTAGCTCAGCAACTTGGTCCAAAATAGTTGCCTAGGGGCGCTGAAGGTAAGTATTTTGTGTAGGGTCACATGGCCAGAATGGGACAGACTTGAGACTAGAGCCCAAGACTTTTGCCTCTGAGGCAAGTTTTCCATGATGTCACAGTGCCGCTCAGTTTGGATATACACCTTTGGAAAGTGCTAATGAATCCCCTAAGACAGTATTAGTTTTAGGTTGACTCTATCCAAGAGAAGAAGAGTAGACCTTGCCTATTCCTAGCATCCTTGTCTGGGTGGAAATAGGTATAAATGAGCTGACTCCTTGAAGAATCTTCCAATCCAGAGGATTTATAACTTGTATAGGTCATGGAAGAGAGGTAGTTGGGGGTATTTGGGGAACTTTTTCTCTAAGTTCCTTCTAACAGCTGTATTTCTTTTTTCACTACCCCTTTTCGTCTCTTCAGGACTGTCTGGGAATCCTATAGATCTGGAGAGACGAAAGCAGGAGTTTGGACAAAACTTCATCCCCTCTAAAAAGCCCAAGACCTTTTTGGAGTTAGTGTGGGAAGCTCTACAAGACGCCACACTCATCATCCTGGAGGTTGTAGCAATCATCTCCTTGGGCCTGTCCTTCTCTCGGCCTCCTGGGGGTGGAAACGAGCGTGAGTGTCCTAGAACTGGGCGAGATCCTGGTTCAGTCCCAGCAGCAGGCATTTAATATCGGTTATTGATAGACTACCTCCACTTAGATTTTTTTCCCCATCTACCCAGAATGATTTTGTCCAGTACCCAGTGAGGTCCATTTCTACCATAGCATTCCTCTCTATGTCTCATCCTTCATGCCTAGTGACAAATAGAATATTGCCAATCCTCCAAAGCCCTGCTCCTCAAAGTGCAAGCCCAAGTACTTGGCATCATGGGAAGTTGCTCAACCTGTTGGGCAGAAGTAGTCTGACCCTTTTAGACTTAGGTGGTTATTTACCTGTGACTTGCCTGTCATTTACGTAGGCGCACAGTCTGAACTATTGAGTCTCTGGCTCCTTTAAGGTTAATACTGTGGTGGTGCAGGTGATGAGTGGATACCTAAGCCTGGGTTTCTCAGCAGTGGTGGTTCCTCTTCCTGGGAGTCTGCCTACCTTCTTCTACCCTGCCCTATCCCTCCTCTCCCAGAGAGGGTTAGTAAAAGCATTAGCTCCACTTACCATGTCAACAAGACCTTATAAGTAACACCCCCTCCTTTCCCTCTCCTTATGAAGTAGATTGTGGGCAATCCAAAATTGGTGTGACAGATGAAGGGGAAGCAGAGACTGGCTGGAGTGAAGGGGCAGCTATCCCATTTTCGGCCATCGTTGTGGTGCTGGTGATGGCCTTCAATGACTGGAGCAAGGAGAAGCAGTTCTGGGGCCTACAGAGCCGTATTGAGCAGGAGCAGAAGTTCACTGCTATCCGCAAAGGCCAGATTGTCCAATTGCCTGTGTTTGAGATTGAGGTAGGAGATATTGCCCAGATCAAATAGGGTGAGAATCCCATGCTGTAGGTTCCCCTCCCCACCTACCTACTTTATGGACAGGTTTCTGTTGTCCATAGCCAACACTAGTAATTTTTTCACCCCATTTCAATTGGGGAAGCAAGTAGGGAGCCTGGGATACTGCAAGGGTATTCCTGGGGAGGTTGCCACAATTGGAGAGTTGGAGCAGGGGGAAAGAAGTAGAATGGGACAGGGTGGATAAAAACCTTACTTGGGGTGAAGCAGCAAGGGTGATGAAGCCAACATGTGGCAGCTTTATATTTTAATTATCTTAATGATTAAAATTTCATTCTCATAATCTAAGTTCTAGGTTCAGTTGTTTCAGTGAGACACTGACAGTATTGTCAGCACCATTTTGATGCTCTCATCCTAGTTATAGATCACCTCACCCCGATTATAGTTCGGCGGTTCTCCATTCTTCATTTCTGTTGTGCCTTTTCTGTTGCTTAATGGACAAGCTAGTTCTCTCCTTGGTCTCATAGTATGAGGAGGGGTCTAAGAACTATTGAAGGGAGTTGGGTAGATTATATTCTTCATTATCAGCTTCTGGGTTCAAGTTTAGGTGAATTGTAAGTCCTTTAGGAAAGGAATGGTCTGAGACCCTCCTGTAGTGCAATTTAATACGACCTTGCTGCTGTATGGAATAATCAGCATGTTTTTCTGGGTCCCAGGGGGAGGTCATCAGGAGTAACAATGCCCAGAGCCTTTGGAGGGTGTCCCATATTTTGCAGGGACTTTGTCAGTCCACATGATGCGTGTTTCTCTGTGGTACCTGCTTGTCTAATGCCCTTCAGGAAGTCTCCATGGGAGGAGCACTAGAGTAGAATAGGACCGTGCCTTCCCACATTCTCTTTTTGTCTCTTACTATCATTGTCCATTTTCCTCCCTCCTCCCTCTTTTTCTCCAGGTGACCTTTTGCCTGCAGATGGGATCCTGATCCAAGGGAATGATCTGAAAATTGATGAGAGTGCTTTAACTGGAGAGTCTGACCATGTCAAGAAGACTGTAGAGAAGGACCCCATGCTACTTTCAGGTGAAGCTTTAACTTTGTTGTCTTCTTCTGAGTGTGTGTTTTGATCTTCTTTGTCACCACAGCTAGATTTCATAGTCTGAGTTTGCTCGTTTTCTGGACAATTATTTGACTTTTAAATGCTTTGTTAAGATAGGGCTCTGCTTCCAGTGTGAAGAGCATACTGTTCCAAGCTTCAGGGGAGCTATTTTTAGAGATACTTCTAGGGACCTGTACATTTTCAGTTCTTCCAAGATGATGTGATCTAAGAAGAGGTTTTTACTACTCTCCTGGCCTGTGCTCTGGTGTGTGAGCAACCACAAGCACTCCTTTCTGCTCTTGTACTGTGACGAGGGTCCCCTCTCTACTGTGGCTGTAAGCTCTGTTATGCTAGTGCTCTTCCTGTCCCTGGGACTTCCACACAGGACTGCGACCCAGATCTGAATGTGGGGAAAGCAACATAGTCCTGCCTCAGTGCTAGCAAAAAGACCCCTGTAATCTCCTTCTGACTAGTTATTCAAATCCCTTTCCATCTGTGGACTGAGAGCTCCAGAAGCAGCTACTGCCACTGCCGCTGCTGATTCCGTCACTCCCAAGGCCTGCTGCAGGTTTGCTGGGGCCTGGTCTCTGCTGGCATGGCCTGCACTGGACTGTGCTGCTTTCTCACTCTGGTGCAACAGACCTTTTCTGCTGACCTTCCAAGTTGTCTTGGGCTTGAAATGTGTTTTCACTCAGTCTTTTTGTGGGTTTTGCTGCTCTAGAATTTGTTTAGCATCATTTTTAAAAGATATTTGGATGGGTTTGGGGAAAGCTCAGGTAAGTCCCTGCATTTACTTCACCATCTTGTTTCCTTCTTCCCACTTTTCTCTCTGCCTAAAGGGATCTTAGATAGTGCAGTTGTAGATCACTGAATTATGGAGTTAGGAACACTTGAGTTGAAATCTAACCTCAGATACTTAGCAGCTGAGTGACGCTCGGCAAGGCATTTGACCTCTGCCTCAGTTTCCTCAACTGTCAGATGTGGATAATAATAGCACATACCTCCCAGGATTGTTGTGAGGATCAAATGAAATGCCTGGCACATAGTAGGCATTTAATAAATACTTCCTTCCTCCCTCCTTCATGTCTTTCCTTCCTTCTCTGGCCATAATCCTTTCTCTACTTCATTCATTGTAATGTAGTCAAAGAGTCAACAGAACTTAAGAGATGGAAAGAATCTCTGTCTATGCCTTGGCACTGACTCTTCTACATGCTTGGAATGCACTCCTTCTGCACCTCAGCCTCTTAGAATCCCTAGTTTCTACTGAACCTGAGTTCAGGGATCCCCTTCCACATGATTATCTTTTCTGTTCTTCCAGCTACTAATACCTCCATCTGAAAATTATCTCATATTTACTATTATTGTTGGTAATAGTAATAATAGCTATATACTATAACAATTGTACTATAACAATAGTACAATTCTTGATTTAACAACATCTAGATTATGAGAGAAATTGCTTTTCTAACAACACAGGTGATATAATTGTTAACCAAATTACACAATATAACAAAATTTAGAAATATAACTGTTGGGATGCTTGGGTGCTTATGTTTGGGTGCTTGTACTTGGGCCCCAATTTCTCCCTAGCCTCAAAAACACTGTCCCTTGATAATCATTTAAGATCAATTGAGCCCTAATAAGGGCCAAAAACCTAAATTAATTTTTTTCTCTCTGAGTGAACTAAAAACACCCCTTCCTGTGTCAGCAAATTCCAGGACCAGATAGAGCTGATCAGTATTCTTCCTGTTTGTTATCACTGGGCCCAGGATGTCTGGGACCAGATACTCTCTTGAATAATGGGACTTTTCTTATCTTCAGTTTCAATTGAGAACTGACCACTCCTTAACCACTCCTTAATCCCACCCTGAATCCCCTAGTTAGCATATTTGACATATGTTTTATAGCATTTTATCCTATATAAACTTTACCTGTACCTCTCTAAGGTTGCAGGATCCTTTAAAAATCCTTGCCCACTGAAAAGTGCAACAATAAATCTTTGTCACCTTGGATTAAAGAATATTTGAGTCTGTGAATTCATTCCAGAAGACCAGTCCTGTACTCCGGTCTTTGAGGGGTCACAACCTCTCAACCTCTCAGCCCACAACATAACCAATACTACAAGCAATTATCATGTATTTAAACTTGAAACAGAACCAGTTAGTTACCATCAGGTGACCTTAAATTTAGTTGGATGAGCAAATCAGATCTGGATTCATAATCACTAATGAAAACATTTTAATTTCTAAGGCCCAATACTCTTAGCACTTTAAAAGAAAAGATAATTAGCCATAAATGCACATTTTTTTGAGGCACATGGTGACAATTCCCAGCTCCAAATAACCTTTTACTTCCTTGAGCTGGAGTTCCCAGGAGTCTCAGTGTGTAGAGGGAAGGGAGCAATTGTAGTTTTCCCAATTTCCTAGTTCCAAGAGAATTGAGAGAATTGACAGAATTGGGCATATGCTTCCAGATAGGGAGTCTGTCCTCTATGCTTTGGAAGGTGTGCCCAGGTCCATGGCCTCAAACTGCTGGACCGAGAGGCTGAGAGGTCAGGCTGAGTGTGAGACAGCCTTGTAGCTGTCTGATCTAATGGGACCTGAGAGGTCAGGCCTTCCTAGGTGCTTGGAGAGACATCCCAACTACAGGGTGAGAAAAGGGATAGGGAGAGAGAGGAGGCTGGAGAGGATCTGTAGTTCCTTCTGTCGTCTTTGTGACTTATCAGATAAGCCTTAATAAGCATTCCAGCTCTCCATTCCCATCCTCCTGGGAATTTTGAGCTGCATGTACTAGAAAATGAGACCTCAAAACTGATGGGGTGGGCCCAAGCCAAGATCTTATTCCCTTGCCCCAAAGGGAATCTGGCTCCCTTTTGTCTATGGGCCCCAGAAAGCCCTTACTCTGTTCTCAAAGGGTTCCTTATCGACTCCCCTAGTGGACTCCCCTTATCTCCCTATGAAAGCCCTAGCCCCACCCTTTTGATCTTATGCAGATGCTTTCCAGTTCCCTTCATTATCTATTCCCATTGTCTATTCAATCTCTCAGACCTTCCAGTTGGAATTCTTACCTAGACCCTTTTCCCATCCCCCTCCTCTGGCCACCCAAAGTTACTTTAGCAAAAAAGTTACTATATAAGATCCACCCTGGTCCCCATTCAGGGGCTGAGAATCTCTCATGTCCAAAAGGCTGAGACTTTCTCATGCCCACTCGTCCCCACTGGCATCACCTGGCCTATATGTTTTATCACTAAGAAACTTTTTCTCTGGCTGGAAGAAGATTTGAGTAGAATTCTTTCAGGCAGAGCCCGGCATAACAATCTTGGGGGTTCCCCCAGCAGCACCCCCAAACCTCGAGACTTCTTCAGAAACCAGAGTACAAGGACCCCCAAAGAAAACCAAACATAAAGGCCCACAGGGCATGGAAACCCTGAAATGGATCACAGGGACCCCCAAAGAAAACCAGATCTGAAGTCCCACCTACCTGACTCCCCAACATCCTGAGGGGGTGAGGAAGAAACAACACAGGGAAAACCAGGGTGCAGGGGAAATAAAAGTCTTCTCAAGCAGAGCAAGGTGCCTTTTCTTTAAGTTTTGGAGACCAAATTTCTTACTAAGCTTGTCTTGTTTAGTAATCGCCTTTACAAATTATTTTTCTAGATTACATTGAGGTCAGGCTGTGCTACAATGGAACACTAGGCACTTTTCTTTAAGATCTCATTCCCCAAATTTACCATCCTAACAGTCTCCTAGCAGCCTCTCGCTTGTCTTAGTGTCCCAAGACACTTGAGAGGAAAAAATGTGACTGACCCACCTCAAGGGCATCCCTTTATACAAGGGTCAACAGTCCAACTGACCCCTCAGAGGTCAGTAGAGCTTCAGATGCTCCTGGCAGTGTCTAGGCACTCCAGGGGTCTCTCAGCCAAAGAGACAGTAGGAGCAGAAAAGATCTGGGGAAGAAAACAAAGAAAAAGGCACTTATCTGTTATCCCAGTGGCCAGAAGATCAGCAGAGTCCAATTAATATTTGGACTCCCGGGTTTCAACACCATTTTATGTTGAGGTTTAGAGTTGGGAGAGCTCATTCAGGTGTAAAAGAATTCACTTAGACCTTCTCTGTAGCCATTGGGAGCTTTATTTCATGAAAGCTTCATGGGCCTGAGGTTAGCAAGGAGCTAAACAAAGGTGTCGATATAGGAAAAGACCCAGGCTTATATAGACAGAAAGCTACACAGCCTGTAGGATGACAACATATTTTTAGGATTTCTTATGGGGGTTGGAGATTAGGGACAGGGTAAGAACAAACCAGATGAGGAAGATGGTTGCTTTACAAGATAAGGAAAAATTGTCCATGACACAGGATGAGAAAGAGGAATGACAGGATAAGGAACACAGGGTAAGGGAGATAAAGGCAATTCTCTTGGTACAAGTTGTATGGCATTTCAAGATTAAGGGAAAAGGACTTGAGAAGTTCTCAAGTTCTAGGATCTCAAGGTACAGGATGGGCTACAGAAGGAGCCTCAAACCCCCTCAGAGGGCCCGGGAAAGTAAACTTTACTATTATTTTTAATCCTAGGGCACTCTTTGTACCCACATCAGTACTGCCCACCAGGATGCCCTCACTTGGGACAGCCAGTCCCTCATAAACATGTATTAAATGCCTACTGTGTGCTAGTCCCTGAGGATACTAAAAAGAGGCAAAACTCTGGCCTTCAGTAGCTCACTGTCTAACGGAGGAGACAATCAATCAATCAATACTTATTAAGTGCCCACTGCACTAGTCACTGGGTATACAAAGAAAGGCAGAAGCCAACTCCTGCCCTCAGGAAGCTCACAGCCTAATGGGGGGGGGGGGGAGAGAGATGAGAAGGAGAAATGAAACAACCTGCAAACAAGATTCCTATGGGGAAGTCATATATAGAACAAGTGGTATACAGAATAAATTGGAGGTCATCAACGGAAGGAAGCCACTGGAATGAAGGGGAATTGAGATCCTCTGCAAACCCCCTAGCCAGCCATCAGCATCCAGAGGGATGATTTCTTCCTTGGGAGGATTTGGGAGTGAGCAGCGGGTCAATATCTGTTTTCCAACTAAGAGTGTGCAAGAATTCCCTGGACCTCTGAGAGCTGATGACAGGGCAGAGTCACAGTCTAGTGGAAGCAACGTAAAAACAACTAGTGTATGTATAAACAAGCTATATAGAGGACAAATTGGAGACAGAAATGCACTAAGATTAAGGGGGATTGGGAAAGACTTCTTGCAGAAAGTGGGATTTTAACTGAGACTTGAAAGGAGCCAGGGAAGCCAGGAGGAAGAGATAAGGAGGGAGAGGGAGAGTGTTCCAGACAGGGGGGACAGCCAGGAAAAATTCCTGAAGGTGGGAGATGGAGTGTCAGTGCAAGGAACAATCAGGATGCTATAGATTGCAGAAAATAGGGCTGAGAGCCAGGCTGGCCTGCCATGCATCTGGCAACACCACCACGTGTATTCCTAGCATCCACACAACCTGGTTAGTTTCATTTAAAAAGAAAGAAAGAAGAAAACCAAATTACTAGTATCAAAAATGAAAAGGGTGAATTCATCACTAATAAAGAGGAATTTAAAGCAATAATATGGATCTATTTTGCCCAACTGTATGCCAATAAATCTGACAGTATAAGTGAAATGGATAAATATTTATAAAAATAAATTGTCCAGATTAACAGAAGAGGAAATAAAATGCTTAAAAACCTCACTTCAGAAAAAGAAATTGAACAAGGCATAATTGAACTTTCTAGGAAAAAATCTCCAGGGCCAGATGGACTTACAAGTGAATTCTACCAAACATTTAAAGAACAATTAATTCCAATACAATATAAACTATTTGGGGAAATAGGCAAATAAGAAGTCCTACCAAGTTCTTTTTATGACACAAATATGGTGCTGATACCTAAACCAGGAAAAGCCAAAACAGAAAAAAAAATTAAAGACCAATTTACCTAATGAATACAGATGCAAAATTTTAAAATAAAATATTAGCAAAGATATTACAGCAGCTTATCACAAGGATAATATACTATGACCAGGTGGGATTTATACCAGGAATGCAGGGCTGGTTCAACATTAGGAAAACTGTCAGCATAAGTGGCCATATAACAGAAGAAAAATAACAGAAATCATGTGATTTTCTCAATAGATACAGAAAAAGCTTTTGACAAAATACAGCACCCATTCCTTTTAAAAACACTAGAGACCATAGGAATCAATAGAGTTTTCCTTAAAATGATAAGAAACATCTATCTAAAACCATCAACAAACATGTAAGGGGGATAAGCCAGAAGCATTTCCAATAAGATCAGGGTGAAACATTAATACCACTGTTATTCAGTATTGTACTAGAAATGTTAGCTTTAGCAATAAGAGAAGAAAAAGAAATGGAAGGAATTAGAATTGCAATGAAGAAACAAAGCTATCACTCTTTACAGATGATATGAAGGTATACTTAGAGAATCAACTAAAAAACTACTTGAAATAATTAAAAACTATAGTAAAGTTGCAGGATATAAAATAAACCCACATGAATCATCATCATTCCTATATATTACTAACAAAATGGAGCAGCAAGAGATAGAAAGATAAATTCCATTTAAAGTAACCATAGAGAATATAAAATATTTGGGAGTCTACCTGCTAAGACAAACCCAGGAACTCTATGAACACAATTACAAAACACTTTACACAAAAAAAGTCAGATATAAATAACTGGAATATCAGTTGCTCTTGGGCAGGCCAAGCTAATATAATAAAAAATGACAATTCTATCTAAATTAATTTACTTATTTAGTGCCATACCAATCAAATTGCCAAAAATTGTTTTATAGAGCTATACAAAATAATAACAAAATCCATGTGGAAGAACAAAAGGTCCATAATATCAAGGGAATTAATGAAAGGAAATGCAAGGGAAGGTGGCATCGCCATACCAGATCTTAAATTGTACTATAAAGTAGCAATCATTAAAACTACTTGGTACTGGCTAAGAAATAGAGTAGTGGATCAGTGGAATAGGTTGGTACACAAGACACAGTAGTCAGTGACTATAGTAATCTACTGTTTGATAAAACCCAAAGACTCCAACTTCTGGGATAAGAACTCACTATTTGAAAAAACTACTGGAAAAAATATGGAAATACTATGGCAGAAATTAGGCATAGATCAACATCTTACACTGTATACCAAGATAAAGTCAAAATGGGTACAAAAGGGTGATATTATACACAAATTAGGAGAGTAAGGAATAGTTTACCTGTCAGATCTATGGAAAATGGAAGAATTTATGAACAAACAAGAGATAGAGAACATTATAAAATGCAAAATGGGTCATTTTGATTACATTAAATTAAAAAGGTCTTCCACAAACAAAGCCAATGCAACCAAGATTAGAAGGGAAGCAGAAAGCTGGGAAACAATTTTTACAGCCAGTGTCTCTGATAAAGGCCTCATTTCTAAAATATATAGAGAACTGAGTCAAATCTATAAGGATACAAGTCATTCCCCAGTTGATAAATGATCAAAGGATATGAAAAGGCAGTTTTCAGATGAATAAATTAAAGTTCTCTGTAGTCATATAAAAATGCTCTAAATCACTATTGATTAGAGAAATGTAAATGAAAACAACTCTGGGGTACCACATCATCCTATCAGATTGGCTAACATGACAAAATAGGAAAATAATAATTGTTAGAGAAGATTTGGGAAAATTGGAACACTAATGCATTTTTGGTGGAGTTGTGAACTGATCCAACCATTCTGGAGAGCAATTTGGAACTATGCCCAAAGGTTTTTTTTATAAAACTGTGCATACCCTTTGATCCAACAATACCACTTCTAGGTCTATATCCCAAAGAAATCATAAAAATGGGAAAAGGACTCACATGGACAAAAATATTTATAGCAGCTCTTTTTTGTGGTGGCCAAGAATTGGAAATTGAAGGGATACTCATCAATTGGGGAATGGCTGAACAAGTTGTGCTATAGAAATGTAATATGCTATAAGAAATCATGAGCAGGTGGACTTTAGAAAAACCTGGAAAAACTTGCATGAACTGATGCTGAGTGAAGTGAGCAGAACCAGGAACACATTGTACACAGTAACAGCCATATTGTTCGATGACTAACTTTGATAGACTTGGCTCTTCTCAGCAATGCAAGGATCTAAGACAACTCCAAAAGACTCATGATGGAAAATACTATCCACATCCAGAGAAAGAACTGTGGAGTCTGAATACAGATCAAAGCATACTATTTGCTCTTTTTTTTTCTTATGGTTTTTCCATTTTGTTCTGAATCTTCTTTTATAACATGACTAATGTGGAAATATGTTTAATATGATTGTACATGTGTATCCTATATCAGATTGCATGCCATCTTGGGGAAGGGGAAGGGATGGAGGAGGAAAACTTTAGAATTCAAAATCTTATAAAAGTGAATATTGAAATCTAAAAATAAAATGTAAAAAAGAAAAAATATTAATTGATCTGCACTCAGCTTCTATCAGTTCTTTCAGAGGTAGACGGCATTTTTCATCGTAGTCCTTCAGAACTCTCTCGGATCTTTGTGTTGCTGGAAATAGCTAAGTCATTCACAGTTGATCATTGTATGATATCGCTATTATTATATACAATATTGTCCTGGTTCTGCTCACTTCACTCTGTATCAGTTCATATAAGTTTTCCTGGGTTTTTCTGAAACCATCCTGGTCATCATTTCTTATTACACAATAATATTCCATCATAATCACATTCATGATTTGTTCAGCTATTCCCCAATTGATGGGCATCCACTCAATTTCCAGTTCTTTGTCACCCCAAAAAGAGCTGCTATAAACATTTTCCCTTTTTTCAAAATCTTTTTGGGATCCAACCCAGTAGTGCTACTGCTGAATCAAAGGTCATAAACAGTTTCATGTCCCTTTGGGCATAATTTCAAATTGCTGGAGGAGGTAGGTTCTGATATGAATACTCTACTTTTGATTTAATTCCATTTGGTTCAAGTGCTGCCTCCAGTGGACTAGAGCTACTGATACCATGTGGACTCTTGTGAATATTTCAGTTAGGCTTTGGTGCTTCTAGGCCTCTTAGACTATTCTTAGGTCTTATTTTTTGCTATGTTTGTTACAACATTTTGGTTTTTTGCTGTAATAGGCATTAACCAAGGTTAACCACTTCTGAACCTTTGAAACTCCTTGGCCCCCTGTGATTGTCAGCTCAATGTTTTTCTTCTACTTCCTCCTCAGTCCTTCATCCTTCTCTCTTTTCTGGATGCTTACTCTCAGCTCTGCAGAACTCATCAGTCCCAGTTTTGATGTGTCTTAGGACACACCAATGGCAGAAACTCAGATCGAGAAGATAGTAGCGGTGGTCCTGGTTCACCTGCTCTGTGCTTTATCATCTTCCCAACAAGTAGAAATTCAGACTCACCTTCAAGGCCCTATCAAAGGGAGACCTCACTACCACCATAGATGCTGCTTCCACTCTTAGACAGCTCTAATCAAGAAAAGGTTTGTCTTTACATCAAGCTGAATTCTGCCTGGATGAAACTTCTCCCTGCTGTTCCTGCTTCTACCTCTGAGGGCCAAGCAGAACAAGTTTGAGCCTCCTCACAAGGCTAAATCCTAGCATTGAATCCTAGCAGTCAGCCATCATGCCCCCTCTATGTCTACCTTCCTCCAGGACAGACACTGACAGTTCTTCCAGCTGGTCTCTACCCAGTATGATCTCAAGTTTCTTACAAATTCAGGCCCTCCTGCAGCTCGCATTCAAAACTGAACATAATACTCCAGATGTGACCTGACAAAGGCAGACTCTTGTATTGTGTACACACTCATAATCTGGCCTCTTTCTTTCAATGCCTGTCTATGCTGTAAGTGATCTTTTGTTTTGTTTTGTTTCCCTGGTGTCCCCCATGGGACCTAGCACAGGGGTAGGGAACTTGCAGCCTTGAGGCCACATGTGGTCCTCTAGGTCCTGAAATGCAGCCCTCTGAATGAATCCAAACTTCCCAGAACAAATCTCCTTAATAAAAGAGTTTGTTCTGGGAAGTTTTGATTCTGTCAAAGGGCCCTCAAGGCCACAGGTTCCCCACCTCTAACCTAGCAGATGGCCAATGTTGACTATGTGACCATATTAATTTACTGCCAATCAATTCTGCCTGATTGAGTATAACTGAGGGAGCTAAAATGTTCCGTCTCTACCAATACATTAATTAATCAATAAACAAGTGGTTTTTAAAAATTATTTATTTTTAATTTTCAACATTCACTCCCATAAGATTTTGAGTTTTAAATTTTCTTCTCCCCCCCCACCAAGATGGTATGCAATCTGGTAAAGGCTCTATATATACATTCACATTAAACATATTGTCACATTAGTCATGTTGTAAAGAAGAATTAGAACCAATGGGAAGAACCACAAGAAAGAAGAAACAAAACAAAATGAAAAAAAAAGAGAGCAAATAATATTCTTTGATCTGCATTGAGACTCCATAGTTCTTTTTCTGAATGTGGATAGCATTATGAGTCTTTTGGAGTTGTTTTAGATCCTTGCACTGCTGAGAAGAGCTAAGTACATCAAAGTCAGTCATTGCACAATGTGGCTGTTACTGTGCACAATGTTCTCCTGGTTCTACTCACTTCACTCAGCTTCAGTTCATGTAAGTCTTTCCAGGTTTTTCTGAAGTCTGCCTGCTCATCATTTCTTATAGCAAAATATTATTACATTACATTCATATAACACAACTTGTTCAACCATTCCCCAATTGAACAAGGGTTTTTTTTTTTTAAGCACCAGCCACTGAAGATTCAAAACAGTGAATAATGAAACAATCCCTGCTCTCAAGGGGCTCATATTCTACTCTTATCATAATTCTTTGGAAAATGACATACACATAATGAAGACATTTTCACTGAATTTTCAAAAGAGAATGCACTGCCTACCTTTTTCTTTTTCTTTAAGATAAGCTGACACTAAGTCATGAAGAAACGTAATTAGCTCAGCATCCATAGTCACACAAATGTGATCAGTGAATTCTGTTACCATACTACATTCCACTTTTGTCTTGATGTTGGTGTCTGGAAATGATAAAACTTTTTTTAGAGAAAAAATTTTAATTTAATGCAGTTCTTTCCTGTTTCCCAGGGGAAGACATATGTGTGTGTATATACACACATATAATGGTGATTAATTTTACATTTAGCTTATGGGAAATAGTGCCAGTATTTATTATCCTTATCATTAGTAGTGATATATACCTATATATCTATTTATATATGTGTGCGCATACACATATGCATATATAAACCATCTCTAATTTTTATGTCTAATTATATATGAAAACAAAGCTAGTTTGAGTTTCCTTAGAATCCAGCTTTAATTGTAAGAATCACCACAGTTACGAGTTGAACACAAAGCATATCAGGAAGGTAGCAGGTACCTTACTTAGAATATGTAATATTTGCTAGACAGTAGGTTAATTCTGGTAGAAACCAGGATTTTAAGGGATAAAATTATTTAATATGTATAATAAATTCTGAAACAGTCATTTAAAAATTTTTGCTCTCAACTCTTGACAATATTTTCTAAGTGAATGTTAAATATCTGACCAGATAAATACATCCTCAACAGAAAAATACATCTTATTAAAAGGAGAGTGAATAAACATGATTGAATGAAGATGGTGTTCCTTGCCTCTGGACTAAGGGCTGGCTGTGTTCTCCTAAGACCAGTAACTTAATTATTTCAGATGAATTATTCTACAGCAGTAGACATGGAACCTAAAGTCCCCACCCACTACCCTGCAAGGAAGGCTCCTGCAGCTCCTGAACATAAATGGACTTGAAGTCCAGCTGCATCCATGGGAGGGCAAAGATGGTCTCTAACTCATGGCTATAACTACAATCTCCTCTGAATCCACTCAACAGACTAGAACTCTTTACAGTTGTGCTACCCTCTGTGTTAGCATCAACAATTCAAGGCAGGTTTAACTCTATATGGGTAAAAGGAAAAATGATATTTAATCAATGCTCAATTAAAGAGCCAAACTCCAATGATCCTTCTGGAATGTAACAGCGAAAATAGATGACCTTGCTCAAATTAGAAAAATTAGATGAATGAAAAACTTTTATAAAAACTCTAAAAATAGATTAGACTACAAGCATTGTGAGATCAGGCTTACCTAGATTAGTACCAAAGTGGAACTGACGTAATGACCCTAGGTCATTCCATTAATTTTTTCAAATAAATTTCTCTAGCTTCAAGGGATTTTAGAGCTGAATCTTAGAGGTATTAAATTGTTAAATGATAACCTGCAGTTTATGGAAGTGTTCTCAAAGTCTTAGGGCAGCTCTTTCTCCTTAGAACTCAGTGAAGCTTAGAATAACACTAAGCCTTGGAGGCCATCCTGCATATTTTGGGGTTCTCGTACCATAATGGATGGTTGCTGCCATCCTGTTGCTGCCAATAAGAATGTCTGCCTCTATCCTCCTCCCACTAACCACAAACTTATAACCTCTCTAGGCTTCAGCTTCCTCCTGGGTAAGAAGAAAACAATATTTGCACCACTCCCCTCATGAGACCTTTATGGAGTTTTCTGTGAATCTTCAAATACTACATAAATGGGTTTGTCAAGTGTATCCAAGTAAAATGAGTTTTTTAAATTAAAAAACCGGGGCAGCTAAGTGGCACAGTGGATAGAGCACTGGCACTGAAGTCAGGAGGATCTGAGTTCAGATCCAAGCACTGGCACTGAAGTCAGGAGGATCTGAGTTCAGATCCGAGCCTCAGACCAAACACTTGACACTTAGTAGGTGTGTGACCCTGGGCAAGTCACTTAGCCCCAATTGCCTAAAAATAAAATTAATTAATTAAAAAACCAATGTTACCAATGTTTAAGTTCTGAGACATAATAAACAGGCTCCCAGCTAGAAGATAACCTAGAGTTACTGACCTTCATTCCTTATGGCAGTGGCATACTTGAACTGCTCTTTCACACTGGCCACTCCATGCCCATGGCAATGTCTTGCAATCTTGGTTATTGTTGCCACAGGACTCTCCAAAGTACCACAAGGTTTAGTGACCATAGTATTGTGACCTAGATGAAAATTCAGTATCTAGACCACATTATGTTGAATTATTACTTGAACCTGACCCAAAGAGGAATAGAAAAAAATGTTAAAGATGCTGTTTTTACTACTATGTAAATCCATATACATTTTGAATTTTATTTAAATTTTCTGGTTTTTTTTAATCAGGTAAATATATTTAAATGTTATTACAATAGCCAGAGGTGGGTAGGCCATACTCAGGGACTAGAATTGGAGGTCCCCTTCCCTCCCAACTGGCTCACTGTAATGACCACTGAAAAGGCACTCTGTCTTTGCAGGTACTAACCAACAATGTTGAGGAGTCAGGAGGTGCTGAATTCCTGACACCTGCTCCCTTTTTAGTCTGAATATGGAGCGGGGGAGCAAGGTCCTAGTTTTGGCCCCTCATGGGGACTGAAGGCCTCTGTTTCCCAAAGGTTCTATTCCCTGCCACATACAGAGATTAAGAGGATGCATCTGATCTCTGACTCTGCCAAAGGCCTGAGAAGGTGGGAGCTAGAGGAGGGAGAGGTCCTGCTACCTTCACTGCCCCAGACTTGCCTCCTCTTTGTCATTCTACTAAACAACAGAGTGGCTGCCTGCTACCCAGGACCCAAAGACCTCCCCTTCACCAAATGGTCCTTGTGCCCACCATTCCTGTCCCAAAGACATCAATGCTGAAGGACAGAAGCATGATGGTGCTGCATCTCCCCACCCACAACCCAAGATGAGGGAGCTCCTTCACACAAGACCTCCTCACAAACCATTGTCATGGATTCTCTGCTCCCCTAATCTAATGAACCGAGTGACCTGGTCACCTGGCATTTCCTGTTCAGTGGCTTGCAAATTACTCCGTCTTGGTTCCCCTTTGTCTCTGGTATTTGAGGTCACCATTTGTGGAGGTGAAAATCCTTTTCCCCTGCTACTCTGAGCCCTACCCTGCTCTTCACACTCTCCCACCAAAGAGCCCATCTTATCCCAAGTCTTCCATTTCCCTGCCCTCATGGAATCCCTCTAGAAAATGCTGCATCCCTTGTCACTGTGACCACTTCTGCTGACTGCTCTTTTTCTTGTACTACATACCAGGCCCCTGATGCTTTGGGGCTGGAGGGGCTGGAAGGGCTTTGCTCCCCAACCCTATCCCTGAGCAATCTCCCTTCCTTTGATGTGGAGTCAAGGCAAAAAGCATTTCTTAAGCCTATAGTGTGTGCCAGGCCCTATGCTGAGGATACAAAGAAAGGCAGAAACAGTCCCTTGCCTCAAGGAGCTCCCTCAAAAAGAGGAGTTAGCAGAGGGAGCACAGCAATGAGGAGGGTGGGGAGAGGCTCTTGAGTAGGCAGGATTTTAACTGGGACTAGGAGGAAGCCAGGGGGTAGAGTGAAGGAGGGATATTCTTCCAGGGACACAGGCAGAGAAAATACCTGGAACTGAGAGATGGAGGGTCTTGTGTGAGGAATAACAAGAAGGCTCCAGTCACTAGATCAGACAGCAAGCAGGGGAATATGGTATAAGATTAGAAAGGATGAAATGGGAGAGGTTATAAAAGCTAATTAGAGAATTTAATATTTGATCTTTTAGGTGATGGGCAGCCACTGTGATGTGTATTCTATATAATCCTGCCTAGATGTTTGTCTTCCTTTTTTTTTTTAAAGGATTTAGGACCTGGTTAGAAGGTTTTTCTCTCGCCTACCACCTCTCCCCTCATACCCGAAAACTTTAACATTGATCATGATGTTCTCTGGAACATTCTGGTCTCCCAGGTCATCGTTCTTCCCGTCTTTTATGATCTGTATCTCACCTTTTCCTTGGGTGCCCAAGAGAAGAGTAATGCCTCAGCACTACCACTCTGAAACCTCATACCTCTAACTCCAAATCGTTCCCCATGGTCAGGCTCTCTCATACTTCT